TATTCTACACTGATGCAGTATTCTGTATTGAAATAAATCTATCAGGACCTTGAATGAGTTCTCGCTGTTTTCCAACAAATTACTAAAACTGCGTGCGTGTAGTTTAAGATGGTAACGCATCTATAAAGAAGTACTATAAGCAAGCTTGAAATTCAGTGTATATCATTTCGCCGAAGTGTAAACAACTTTTTTTTTCATAGTGTTAAACATGTCGAGTTTCGTGTCAAAAAAAGAGTATTTGCGGGGAATTTTACTGCATTATTTTATAATTTTACTTTATTAAAAAAAATCTGCAGTTGAAGCACACAGAATTCTTGTTGAGACTTACGGCGACCATGCTCTATCGGAAACAACATGTAGAGATTGGTTTAGACGCTTTAAAAATAATGATTTTGATGTTAAAGATAAAGAACGCTCTGGTACACCGAAAAAGTTTGAAGACGAAGAATTGGGGGCATTACATCATGAAGATTCATGTCAGACGCTAGCTAAACTTGCAGAATCATTAGGAGTTGATCACACAACACTTTCAAAACGTTTGAAAGTATTAGGAATGATTCAAAAGCAAGGACATTGAATACGTACGAGTTGAAACCGAGAGACGTCGAACGGCGTCTTTTCACGTGTGAACAGCTGCTTCAATGGCAGAAAAGGTTTTTTGCATCGTATCGTGACTAGCGATGAAAAGTGGATACACTACGATAACCCTAAGCATAGAAGATCGTAGGGTAAGCCCGGCCATGCATCAACATCATCGGCAAAACCGAATATCCATGGTTCGAAGCTTCTGCTCTGTATTTGGTGGGATCAGCCGAGTGTAGTTTATTATGAGCTGCTCAAACCGAACGAAACCATCACGGGAGATCGCTATCGACTACAATTGATACGTTTAAGCCGAGCATTGAAGGAAAAACGGCCGCTATACGAGCAGAAACACGACAAAGTGATTTTGCAACATGACAACGCTCGGCCACATGTTGCACAACCGGTGAAATCCTACTTGGAAACGCTTAAATGGGAAGTCTTACCCCACCCGCCATATTCACCAGACATTGCCCCTTCCGATTATCACTTGTTCCGATCGATGGCACATGGCCTGGCTGAGCAGCACTTCCATTCTTATGAAGATACTAAAAAATGGGTGGACTCTTGGATAGCCTCAAAAGACGTGTCATTTTTCCGATGTGAAATTTAAATGCTACCAGAAAGATGGGAAAAAGTAGTAGCTAGCGATGGACAATACTTTCAGTGACATGTCTTTTACGATTTGGTAAAGGTGTAGAAAAAGGGCGCCACCTCCGATCAGCCTGATCTTGACATATGTCATAGAGCTCACCCTTCTGAGTGACCTCTATGACATATGTTAAGATCAGGCTGATCTGAGGTGGCGCCCTTTTTCTACACCTTTACCATTTTTTTTTCAAGAGCAGTTATTAAAAAGCATTTGTCAAAGACTCCTGAAAACCTTTCCCCAAGATCTCCTTTTACACTACAGTGATTTCCTTGCTAACAAGAAAATATGCATGAACGTTTGAACAAGCGAAACAATCATCAAAACACCGCGTATTCCTCACGTATAGACGAGACGAATGTAAGTCGAGCGTTTTCTTAGTGTGCGTCACACGTATTTTAGGACAGCCATTTCTGGCCGCCACGTCTCATAATACTATCTCTCTCGCTCTTACGTCTGCGATAGAAGATAGAAGATCGCCGCGACTCCCACCATTATTCCCTCTCCAAGCCGTCCGACGATCATATACCACTAGCCTCCTCCAGCACTCCGTGCTGCACGTGCCTCACTTACAGGCAGCAGTATGTGAGTGACGTGTCATCGTGTGCGAGTCACACGGATATACGGACAGCATTAACGCCGATGCATGTACACGCACCGGCGTTAATGCCGTCCGAATATCCGTGTGACTCGCACACGATAACGCGTCACTCATACACTGCTGCGTGTAGGTGAGCTAAGAGCAGCACGGAGTGGCGGAGGGAGCTAGCGGTATACGATCGTCGGACGCTTGGAGAGGGAATAGTGGTGGGAGTCGCGGCGATCTTCCATCCTCTATCGCAAACGTAAGAACGAGAGAAATAGCATTATAAGACGTCTGGACAGAAATGCCGTCCTAAAATACGTGTGACACACACTAAGAAAACGCTTGACTCACACTGTCTCGTCTATACGTGAGCAATACGCGGTGTCCCGACGATTGTTTCGCTCGCTCGAACGTTCATGCATTTTTCATTGTTAGCAAGGAAATTACTGTAATGTAAAAATCTTGGGGAAAGGTTTTTAGGAGACTTTGACAAATGCTTCTTAATAGCTACTCTTGAAAAAAAAATTAATATTAGATTTATTTTAATATAGAATTCTGAACCAACATAGAATATATTGCAACAATATAACGTTTGTGTAGGTTGTCGATCGAAGAAGAGTTCAGAATGGTTCAGAATTCTATATTAAAATAAATCTAATATTAATTTTTTTTTCAAGAGTAGCTATTAAGAAGCATTTGTCAAAGTCTCCTAAAAACCTTTCCCCAAGATTTTTACATTACAGTAATTTCCTTGCTAACAATGAAAAATGCATGAACGTTCGAGCGAGCGAAACAATCGTCGGGACACCGCGTATTGCTCACGTATAGACGAGACAGTGTGAGTCAAGCGTTTTCTTAGTGTGTGTCACACGTATTTTAGGACGGCATTTCTGTCCAGACGTCTTATAATGCTATTTCTCTCGTTCTTACGTTTGCGATAGAGGATGGAAGATCGCCGCGACTCCCACCACTATTCCCTCTCCAAGCGTCCGACGATCGTATATCGCTAGCTCCCTCCGCCACTCCGTGCTGCTCTTAGCTCACCTACACGCAGCAGTGTATGAGTGACGCGTTATCGTGTGCGAGTCACACGGATATTCGGACGGCATTAACGCCGGTGCGTGTACATGGATGGATGCATAGGTGATTGGATGGATGTTTACAATGATAAGTTATGGAACAGATAAAGACTGAGGACCGTCATATTACACTCACCCATCCACATATGCACGTACGCACGTATACATAATACACACACACACACACACAAAAGAGGTGTAAATCCGACCGTGCAACCTCCACGCAGTACACCTTGGATAATGCTAATGTCGACTATACTCGAAATTTCAGGCCTTATAACTTAAAAAGTATTTAATAGAAAAATATTTTGTTATAGTGTTTTGAAAAGCTCTCGAAATAAGCTATAAGGATATGCAATGAAAAATAAGAGGTTCTGTTATTGGGAGTGTAAATAAGTTCTCGCCGTTTTTTGTGAAAATAAATCCTTTATTTAAAAAAAATAATAAAAAAACAAGTCAATTAAAATATTGCCCATCGCTGGAGACTACTTTTTCCCATCGTTCTGACAGCATTTGAATTCCACGTCGAAAAAACGACACTTCTTTTGCCGCTATCCACGAATCGATCCATTTTTTCGTTTCTTCATACGAAGTGAAGTGCTGCTCAGCCAGGCCGTTAGTCATCGATCGAAATAAATAGTAATCAGAAGGCGCAATGTCTGGAGAGTACGGCGGGTTGGGTACGACTTCCCATTTCAGCGTTTCCAGGTATGTTTTAACCGGTGACGCGACATGCGGCCGAGCGTTATCATGCAGCCAAATCACCTTATCGTGTCTTTGCTCATATTGCGGCCGTTTTTCTTTCAATGCTCGGCTCAAACGCATCAATTGTCGTCGATAGAGATCTGGTGATCTCTATGGATCTTGTGATGGTTTGATTGGGTTGGAGCAGCTCGTAATACACTACACCTAGCTGATCCCACCAAATGCAGAGCATGAGCTTGAAACCGCGGATGGCGATTCCGCTTTGGCGTTAATGCTACTACTTCGCCGAGCTTAACCTGCGATTTTTTACGCTTGGGATTACTGTAGTGTATCCACTTTTCATCACCAGTTACAATACGATGTAAGAAACCTTTCGTTTTTTATCGTTGAAGCAGCTGTTCACACATGACAAGACGCCGTTCGACGTCTCTCGGCTTCAGTTCGTATGGCACCCAAGATCCTTCCTTTTGTATCATTCCTAATGCTGTCAGACGTTTCGAAACTGTTGTTCGATCAACTCCTAATGATTTTGCAACATCGGATTGCGTCTGACATGGATCTTCAGCAAGTAATGTTTCCAATTCTTCGTCTTGAAACTTTTTTGGTGCACTACTGCGTTCTCTATCTTGAATATCAAAATCACCATTTTTAAATCGGTTAAACCAATCTCTGCATGTTTTTTCCGACAGAGCATGATCACCATAGGTTTTTACAAGAATTATGTGTGCTTCAGCTGCAGATTTCTTCTGAATACAGTAGGGCAGTAAAATTCCCCGCAAACGGTTTATTTGGCACGAAATTTGACATGTTTTACGCTACAAAAAGAAAATGTTCTTTATAGGTTAATGGAAAGACACGCACTAATTTTAAACATAGGTTATAGAACTTCAATATAGATGCGTCATGATCTTGAATTATACACACCAAATTTTTATACCGCCATCTGATGGTGAAACGGAGAGAACTTATTCACACTCCTAATAAAAACATTGAAGGTAACTTTCACATGGCCTGGAGAGGTTCGCGCTCGGGAAAGGTTGGACCGTTGAGGTTTGGGCCGACCCAGGTACGGACGAGTCGGAGCCGGACTAAGTGGTTCGGCCCAGCTCGGCGGGGGGCCTGGGATAAGGGCGGCTTGGTCGTCCTGCCCAATGGCCCCCTGGTCCCTATCTCGGCGGAGTTGTCTGCCGGGTAGGGAAGAGGCCGCAGAAATGCGCCCCCTTGATAGCGTCACTGTCGCGGAGGAGAAGAGGGCAGTGTCCGCCCTAGGGGGCGGGCCTGTCCCTCGGCCCCCTCCCTAGTTTAGGGAAAGGAGGTCCGGCGGGCGAGGGTGAGTGCCTCCTAATACCCCCATGCGGGCAACAACAACGCCCTGGGCCAGCTTACCCGTCCCACGTACCTGGGGGGCGAGGGGCCTTCGGGCTATGGGTCCCTATCATGAGCAAGGGGCCGGGGAAGTAATGCCAATAGTAGTTTTCCCAGTCCCCTTTCCCCCTTCCCAGTCGCCCTTCTTAGACATCCCCCAGAAGTTTTAGCGGGTAGGACCTCCCCATTTTGGGGAGGAAGAGTCCCGCATAACCCGTGAGTCCCCCCAGGGACTCCGGGTATGCATAAAGCATTTTCCCTGGAACAACAAAAAAGAAAACCTTCACATGACCTTGGGAACGCTGTTGAAAATTATACTAATACCACTATCTAATGCTTCATTTAAAACCTTATAACTTTTGTTGGAAATATTTTTCAGTAAAGTGTCGCGTTTACAAAAAAATTGGGTAGTTCTGGTGGTCTGGGACTCTGTATAATAATGTTATCTACCGAGAATCAATCGTAAAATAGATGGAAAATCTTCCATATGTGTACTACCTTCATATTCGCCGCGTAGCTGTGTAGTAGCTCGCTCGATACAACGACGTAAAACGTTCAGTTCGTACTATCTCGTAATAAGAGATAATAAGTAGTACACATATGCAAAATATGTACCGTATAACATTTCAATATATAATATATATACAGGGTGAGTCATTTTAGTCTATGGATCCGAATATCTTCCAAATTACGGTATCTACAAAAAAATGGTTTAGATAAAAGTTGACCAGGACAGAGGGGGTCATTCAATTGTACCATTGGTTTTGACCTTGAGGTCAATTTTGAAGATTACTTCAAGGTCACGATGGTTTTTTCTAATGGGACACCCTATGTTTGACTGCAGATTTCGAAAGAGCGGAAAATTTTACATTAAACTTGTCTTATGAAAAAATTGTTTTTACGACCTTGGAAAGGTCAAAAATGAAGGTGAAATGTCTGAAAAACGATCTGGTGT